ACTGGGACTACGCTGGTTTACAGAAAGGGACTCCATAGGCTTTAGGGCGAACCTTCGGAACACGCCAGATGAAGTGGCACAAGGACTCAAGGTACCTACGAAGAGAGAAGTCACCAGCGCCGTGATGTCGACCTTCGATCCACTAGGGCTAGCATCACCAATTCTCATCCAAGGCAAAAGGCTGCTCCAGAACATATGGCGAAGTGGCGTCGGTTGGGATGAAGAGATAGAAGAAAAGGAGTACGAGTCATGGAAGACTTACCTGGAGAAGATGAAGCTGCTCCAAGACCTTCAGATCCCGAGATGTCTGGCACCACGTCGCACCGAGGGGGAGCTGCACACGTTCACGGATGCAAGCGAAATGGCGTATGCAGCTACGGTATATTGGAGAACTGAAAATCAAAATGGGACTTATGACGTCAGCTTAGTAGCAGCAAAAGTAAGAGTCGCTCCGTTGAAGCCGGTGTCAATCCCGAGACTCGAGCTGCAAGCGGCCCTCCTAGGAAGCAGATTGGCACACTCGGTCGAGGAAGAAATGGATCTGAAAATAGAAAAGAAGACGTTTTGGACAGACTCCAGTATCGTGCTATCATGGATCAAGACGGACCCGAGAACCTTCAAGACATTCGTGGCTCATCGCTTGGCGGAGATAGAAGATCTCACAAAACCACAGGACTGGAGATGGGTACCGACGGCGCAGAACCCTGCAGATGATGCAACACGTGACGTACCAGAACACTTCGACTGCCAACACCGATGGTACACCGGACCAGGGTTTCTAAGAAGAGATGAAGTTCACTGGCCTGCGGCAAGAACATTCAAGAAAGAAACCACTGGCGAAGAAAAGGCAGCGGACATCGTAGCGACTGCAGGCAGCTCCTATCCATCACCAGATCCCGAAAAGTTCTCGTCGTGGAAAAGACTTTGGCGAGCTACAGCAAGAGTACTGCAGTTCATACAACTCTGCAGAAGAAAGGAAAAGGTCCACGCCAGCAAAGAAGATCCTACCTGGAAAACTACAAAAAGGAATAAGAAAATTGTTGAGAAGCGACATCTGTCTTCAAAAACGTCAGAAAGGAAATACATACCATTGGAAACAAGTCTACTAGAGCAAGCTGAAACGCTGTTGTTAAGAAGAAGTCAAGAGAAATGCTTCAAAGAGGACATCAGGTGCCTACAGCAAGGAAAACAATTAGAGGGCAGCAGCAAGTTGAAAAGGCTCGACGTAGTGCTAGAAGAAGGTCTCCTGCGACTGAAAGGAAGAATCGACGCGATACGAGGGGTTACCAGAGACTACAAACGACCCATCGTACTCGACAGCAAGGACAAGACAACACTTCTCATCATAGAAGAATTTCACTGCCGCTTCAATCACGGGAATCACGCGACCGTAATGAACGAAGTAAGACAACGCTTCTGGGTGCTAGGACTGAGGTCAGCGATCAAGACCATTCAACATCAATGCCAGTGGTGCAAAACAAGAAAGGCAAGACCTCAAGAACTACCAGTGGGCAACTTACCTGCTGAGAGGCTGATGCACGGAAACCCTCCATTTACGTGCACGGGAATAGATTACTTCGGCCCTATGACGATCACCGTAGCAAGACGCCATGAGAAGAGATGGGGTGCTCTATTCACATGCTTAACAACACGAGCTGTACACATTGAGCTCACTCCTTCACTCTCCACTGACAGCATGATCATGGCACTACGACGATTCGCCGCGAGAAGGGGAATGCCAAAGATAATCTACACCGACAATGGCACTAACTTCGTTGGCGCCAACAAAGAACTCAAAGAAGCACTAGCAAGAAGACCTTATCTCGGAAGCGGAGAAGATCGGTGTGCAGTGGAAGTTCATACCTCCTGGTGCACCAAACATGGGAGGTGCATGGGAGCGTCTGGTGCGATCCATTAAAACCGCACTGGACGCCACGCTCAACGAAAGGCAACCACGAGAGGAGGTACTTCATACCCTCCTGTTAGAGGCCGAGCACATAGTCAACTCTCGGCCCCTCACCCACCTCTCCGAGAACCCTGAAGAAGAAGCACTTACACCGAACCACTTTCTCATCGGGCGATCATGTGGCGCAGCAAGAATCGGCAGCTTCGAGGACAACGAGCTTGTGGGCAGACACACCTGGAAGGCTACGCAGCGACTTGCCGATCACTTCTGGCAACGTTGGCTGAGAGAGTATTTGCCCACTCTACTACCAAGGAAGACCAAAGGAAGAGTCAGCGCCACAGATTTGCAAGTCGGAGACATCGTACTGATCGTCGATCACAGCCTACCAAGATGCATCTGGCCACGCGGAAGAATCCTGCATGTGTATCCTGGACCAGACGGGCGGACCAGAGTCGTCGACGTCGAGACCAGAGGAGGTGTTCTACGGAGGCCCAGTTCGAGAGTGGTGCTGTTGGTGCCGGGAGCGTCGCCGAGTCCAGGAGTTGGTGCAAAGCACGAGGGGGAGAATGTCGGCGACGGAAAACTTATCTTCGAGTAACGTGTGTATTAATATAGGGACAATGTCATTTTAGCGTATTATGAATAATTGTTGTAAATATGAAATCTCATTCTTATTAGATTTATTATGTTAAAATAAGTTCTAATTAGTGTAATAAGGTTAGTTTAGAGTATTTTTTGCTTATTTGAATCATATAAGACTATTTAACATTAATTTGAAAGGAATAGGTACGTAAGTAAAATGTTAGCATATAATTACGTAACTTGAAAATGAGATTTTTTGTTTCTTGCAATAGCATAATAGTTTATGTTTTAAATAATAGATTTTATTATAAAACTTATAATAAAACAAGAACTAGGTCGATAGGACTATCCGTTCAAAAGTTATAAGGGAGAATGTATAGTAAAAATGTAGCAACCTAGAAATTTAGATATTTTTGTTTTAAGACTTTTTTAATTAATTATTATATATTGAATATTATGTTTTAATATTGTATAATAGTATGTAAGGCATGTAAATAAATAAATATGTGTAAGGTGTTTTACTGAAAACATAAAATAAAAGGACTCTCAAGGTTTCGGTTTAGGGAAATTTTATTCGAAAAACGAGCTCAAAGTACGCGGCTCTCTGTAAGGTATTAACGGGCCAAATAAAAGGCGAGCCATTTCTCGATTCGAGTCAGTCGCAAGACAGCCACCGAAGAGGCAACAACTAAAAGGAAAAGGAAGAACCGAAACCAAGAGAGAAAAAAGGAAAAATTGTGTTTTTATTTCATCGCCTCTAAGTATAGTCTCCTGTCAACGAAGAAACCCTAGTGGATCGGGACCCAAGCTACGCATTCAGGGGTGCGTGGTGGCGTACATTACCAGCGAACGGACATACTGCCGTGTACGCCAAGAACGTCTGGGAGATTGTCCCAGGTCGACCTCCAGGGTACTAGACATACCCTGGTTCTGGTCGTCCGAAACACTCGTACTCCAAACGCATATACCGTCTTTGTCCGTGGCCGTCGTGGGTAAAAAATATATTTATACAACCATCTTTTTGACGCCAGTGACGTAACAACAGATTATAACACGATCGTTGTTATGACAATATCAATATGCGCTCGCGCCGTAAAGCTTCCTTCCACGAACCGGTAGTGATGATCCTTATCGATACGCAAATTGATATCGATGTTTGTAGTGCACTGTGTAAACTGTAAGCATTAGGGACGATTTCTCATATTATGTGTTAGTTAGGTACCAATTATGTCATTTTTTTCCAATAACTTACATAGTCACTGTATAAAGTCTGGGTGTTGTTGAGTTTTAGAGCAATTTAGAGAAAAGTTTTCTGTAGAATTAGTGTTTTAAATAAGTTAGTGATTAGTGACGGAAGTTTTAAAATCACATCTGAAGTTTTGGCATGTAACGAAAAAGGAGGTACACTGAGTTTCAAGTCCTCATTTAAAAATTTCTATTTCAATATTTGTTTAATATTAAAATATTAGTTGTGTTTTTTATTTTTTATTTTTTTTTGATCTTAACTATTGAGTGACGCAATGTTGAAAACATGTTTATGCTTTATAAAATGCTAATCATCCACTTGTTGGAAATCACCAAGCAAACATAAGATACTCCATTAGGGTAAAGTAAATAAGTATAAATTTATCGGCGCGTCAATTACATACTAATATTTAAAGGCGAGTGCACTTTATCGAGTGAAAAGTAGGACTAGTGATGTGATTTTTTTTATAATTTTAAAATATATATTTTCAAGCTTCCATATATTCGAAATCTTGGCCCGACCCGGGACTCGAACCCAGAACCTCAGGGTGTGCAGCCGTACATGCTAGCCACTACACCACCGAGGCAGTAAAAAAAACGCTATATATTAATCGAATTACTATATAATTATTATATGTCAAAATAATAAAAAGATAGAGAACTGGAAAGACTTGTGTCTAACTGTCTTAGACTACTATAGTATTAAAAACGATATATTAATCTAACATTAAGATCGTACATTATTGATATATAAAATTGTACTTACAGCACTCGTTTATATGATATCTTTTTTTATAGTAGATTTCTGTATAAATAAACAAATAACTACTTATATGTAGTTAGTTATGTCCCGACGGGATTTCCCATCGACCAAAATCTCAGGGAACTTAAGAGATAATTGATAAATTAAGAATTTTTAAAAACGCGAACTTTTAATTCGTAAAATTTATTTACAAACAGACCTAACCATCAATTTATATATTTCTAACTGCAAATGTAACTTATTATGAATGAAACTTCCTTAAAGAGACTTCTATCCTCTTTTCTATTCAATCTTATACGTCCGTTTAAATACAAGTAGGTATTAGTCGTCTGAGCGTATTATATTTTTGTTGTATTGTGATTACTGTTTGGTAACTTTGGGGATGCTCCCCATATTATCATGGGAATGATCGTGAAACAAAATGGGTATGCATATTTATCGTAAATCATGGGTTAAGGATACAGTAAAATTGTTATTAGTTTACATAATACTATTTTTACTTACCTAAAACACCAACTATACTAAAAATACAAGCGCAAGCAGCTGCCATTATCGTCGCTTCGCGAGGATATATCGTGTCTAACGTCGTATTATGCATTTCTAGATCCATATTGATTACTTAATATTTAACACATCACTGGTTTATAATTAGCTATTGAATTAAAGTATTGCATTTTGTTTTTATTTAAAAAAGACAAGTCCTTTGAGAATCCATTTGGAGTGGCTTTACTGGTAAAATGTCTTCATCTCATGAGCCTGAAACAAGGATAGCATTGCTTTATTTTTTGTTATCTATTATAACGAAGCTGTAATCTAAGGTGTAGGTCGTGCGTGTCAAATTAAAATAAATTAAAAATATAAAAGACCCCCGACCATCTTGGATCGATTTTAATCAAACATAGCTAAGAACACTCCCGATTAATTCGCCTTTCAAACAAAAAAAAACAAAATCAACATCGGTTCCTCCGTTCGGGAGCTACGATGCCGTAGCACGTACGCAAGCACCCACGCACACACACACGTCAAACTTATAACACCCCATCCTTTTTGCGTCGGGGGTTAATTAAAATAAGGTAAAATTAGTTTGATAAAAAAACTAAGTAAATAATATTTCAAATCGGTAGATATGTAGGTATTTCAATGCTCTTGACAAAAAAAATTGGGGTGGAAATTCGACCTTTTTCTTCTTTCACATTTTTTTGATTGACAACACTAAAGCTCTTCAACAACTACTGAACAAAAAAAAAGAAAATCAGCTGACAAATAGATGAAAAAAAGTTACTGAAAAGTTTTGTATTTGCCTATAGGTACAGATTAAGTAATATATCTACTGTATACATATGGCTATATACGAAGATTTAAATGTTGACATAATTCTAGTTACACTAAAGTAGGTAAAGTTTATTTGCTTTTACATTTGGGTAGTTCCAAAGCAACTACTTTTGATATGTTGCTTACAGCAGTACATAATTTATAATAGTCATATATATATTAAATATTAATCTATACAGATAAATAAAATTGAAGCGTCTGTTTGTTATGTCGAAATAGCAGCCTTTTACTAAATACGTATGAACGTATATATCATAAGGTATATAGGAGTACTTATAAGAAAAATACAATTTTTAAAATTTTTGTCTATCTGTGCCAACTAATCTCCGAAACGGCTACACCGATTTTGACGGGACTTTCATTGGCAGATAAGGCGTAACTTAGACTATTTTTATTTTAGAAAAAGAATTAGGATTTTGCTCAAAAAAAAACGTACCTAGTACCTACGCACCCGAGCGAAGCGAGTGGAAGTAGGTATATATTATAAATATGTATTGAAATTACTCTTTGTATACGTTTATAGGTCGTTCAACTACCCGCATGCAAGATTCAATGTTTCTTGCGTGTCCAAGCTGAGATTTGCATGTATTTACATGTATCTCGGAAACAATTGCGGACACCGGCTGGTGGAGCATTCGTGTTGCTGTTCATGTCCATTGACATAGATAGTCATCGGCATACAATATTTCAATGATATTCGTATTTCGTACCATATTAGTGCAGCCCGAATTCACAATTGTCCTGTTTTATTTTATCGATGTTATAATGAATTATGAATACAAATAATTGTTTTGCACCATTAAGCAGTCAAATATACAACCTGTTAATATAAATAAATAGATATATTGGGACATTAACACACAGCACCATCTAGTTCCATGATAAGCTACGAAGCTTATATTATGGATACCAAATAGTTGATACACTACACATATATAACTTTAAATACATACATGTTATAAATATAAACATCCATGACTGGAGTGCAAGCATTCGTGTTCGTCACAGAAATGAATGTCCCCGGTGGGACTCGAACCCGCGACCGATGGTACAGCAAGTAGTTACCAAAAAACCGTTTTTCTCCATTTTGAAAATACTTTACCTTTAGTTACCTTTTTAAAATATTTTACAGTTTATTTACTTAGGCTATAATTTCAATGATTATAATCTATCTATACATATAATAAAATTGTAACTAAGCCGAATCTGTACATTAGATATTTTTTGGAAAATCTAATTGAAATAAACATTATTATCGATACAGAGGCCGAATCTATGGTTTTTAGAATTTTGGTCTGTCTGTCTGTCTGTCTGTTACCGCATCACGGGAAAACCACTGTACAGATTTTAATGAAATTTGGTATAATTATAACTGGTTATCCGGGTCAACATATAGGATACTTTTTACTGCGGGAAAATATCTCATTTCTGAGAAAAAATACAAAAACTGCATTGTAAGAGTATACTAATATAGTATAAAAACTAAGAATTTGGTTTTTAGTCATATGAACGCGGGCGGAGCCGCGGGCAATGCTAGTTGTTAATATTTTTTACTAAGTCACGAGTAGGTATCAGTAAATGGCATAAACAAACTTAATTGGTCACATTATTATCCATGTTTGTAACAACCAGTTGGTAACAATTTATGCCAGTGATAATTTATTACTCAAGTAATAAATTTGATAAAGCGTAAGTTGCTTTCATTAATCGTTCAACTCTTTTCAACGAGCGGTATAGATTTATTTGCGGGTATATGTAACAGTTGTTTACTTACATCTTAATCGTGAGAATAATATAACAGTAATGTTTGTTTAAGAAAAATTTAATGAGTAGTTCAATTCAATTTAAAACAGCGAGTACTATATGGACTATGGATTTGAGGGAAGTCACTCTACTCTCGCCTACATAATATTTTTATTTTTTTATGAAAATGATGTTTAGGTATTATAAGACACTAGCGACTTACCCACGCTTTGTTCGGGTTCGTTGATTCCCCATACAAAATTTCATCCCCATTTTCACCCCTTAAGGGATGATTTCCGAGATAAAAATTATCCTATGTCCTTTTCAAGGTCTCAGACTATCTTCTTATCATTTAAAGTGTTCTAGTACATTCGGAGCTTATTCGATACAAACAAACAAAAGAATCTTTACTCTTTATAATACTAAAATTAGTATTATATATGTATAAAAAGTCATTTAGTCCATGATAAGCTTTATCTAGCAAGGACAAGCCATGCCATATAAAAAACTAAATGAATATGGTAAAAAAACATTTAACCAATTTGTTTCAAGCATTCTGCTAATATGCGTGGTAAGTGCAGAGACATTGCCACGTTAAGTTATAGATGTCGCTCATTATGAGTTTATTAACCGCAATTTGTATTCAACTATTGTTGGCTGCCCTCGATAAACGAGTGCCCTTGACTTGATGCGAGTTTGAAGACATATTTGTATGGTTGCGTGCTATCTATGGGACAGGTATCACTTATGTTAGTTTTTTTAAATGTAAATTAATTTTACTCTTATCTAAATAAGGAAAAAAATACTAAACTGGAACGTTTACAAAATATGACAATCAGATTTGTTTATGGTTTGAAAAAATTTGGCCACATTTCTCAATATAGAGTGAGTATTTATCGGTCAAATTATCTATTAATAACAATTAATTATAACCTCAATAAGGGATGTGGCCATTTCCGTAAAGTGACACCTGATCCGCGTTATCGTTAATGACAGTTGTCAATTTAATTCCATCGAGTGTTGTTTGCGAACATCACTAATTTGCTAAGAGCCATGTCCATCATCTGATTGGTCGTCTATTTAATTATTTACTCTTTACAACAGTTTTGTTTTAAAAATATAATTGATATGTAAAGTAAAATAATTTAGGCGCGAGTTTCTTCTTAGTTTTTACTAAAAACTTTTTAGGTCCCACTACTATTTTTAATTTTTAGGTAGGTATAAAGGATTTTTTTTCATAAAGAAAAATTATATTTTTATATTTTATTACATTATCATTAGAGAAGCAATAATTCTTCACCCTCCAGGTAAATTTCTATGAAATCTATTGTTAATTGTAACGCCCGCGTGTGCGCGGTCGTGGAGGGATTAGATTCAATGAATTCTAATTGTAATTCATCGAAGGAATTTTAATAGATACTAAAACCCTTGATAGATATTTAACTTTAAGTTTTAGGTTTTAGTATTATTCAGTAGGTACTTTATGATAAAATTCTTATTCTAACATCAAACCCACCACATGAATATAACTTGGGCTTTAAGTAATAATTATTTTAATAGCCCCTCGGTACAGCAATGATCTAAAATGTAAGGAATATTTACGATATTTCACCTCGTACAAATACATAATATACTGTGATAGAGTCGTCATTTTCTTAAGACACATGCTTTCTATGTATTCAGCCCTTTTTAACGTCCCACAGCTGGGCGTGGGCCTCCCTTCAATACGAGTGGAATCAAGCTATAGTCCACCACGCTGGCCAAGTGCGGGTTGGCGGATCATGCGTTCTAATTTAAAAAAAAACTTTATAAAATATTCATCATAATGTCTTTGTTTACTCTGAAGTTTAGACACTTGGCAGAAACGACTTTAGTTCATACGTGAAAAGTAAATGTAGGTCCGTTACATTTAAGGTACAAAAATAGTTTAATGTGCTTTTATTTTTAAATATATGAATCAATAACATTCATTATATATAAAATAAAAGAAGCTAAATAAATCTACGGTAGCTATTTCCTCCAGACCGATTTCGGCCACGACGACCTATCTCACTGAGACTAGCCATGTGCGCAGGAGATATTATAGCGCACAAGTGCGCTCCTAAATAATTATATACCATTCACTTTCAAATTCGATGGAACGACAACTTGAAACGACGGTGAAAGGCCGAGGGCGGGACAAGCTTCATATCTATATATATAATAAAATTCTAACCAAGTCGAATCTGTACATTAAATATTTTTTGGAAAATCTTATTGAAATAGACATTATTTTCGATACAGAAGCCGAAACGATTGTTTTTAGAATTCTTGTCTGTCTGTCTGTTACCGCATCACGGGAAAACCACTGGAGGGATTTTGATGAAATTTGGTATGGTGATAGCTGGTTATCCGGGTCAACATATAGGATACTTTTTACCGCGGGAAAATGTATCATTTCCGAGAAAAAATACAAAAACTGCAATGTAAGAGTATACTAATATGTAAAACCTAAGAATTTGGTTTTTGGTCATCTGAACGCGGGCGAAGCCGCGG